CTTTTTGCAGTTTTATTTATTTTTGTATCTTTAGATCCTATGATGTCCTCAAGTACTCGAGTTCTACTCGAGTTTTATTATGTTAATGTCGAGTTTAAACATTACGTAGTCGTTCAACCCCTAGTATTGACTGCAGCAGTTACTTTGTTTTTTTTCAGAGAAGTAAAGATTTCAGACAAACGATGCATTTCATTGAGGACGACAAAGCTAACATTGCTAACGCTGATATATTTTACCTTTATGTTAGTTTTATTGTTCTGGATAAAGTTTTACAAGGCTGTAGTGTATGCTAGGTTATCTAAACATTAGCTTGCTAACTTGAGAGGCACATAGCTAATGACAAGTGGGTTGGACGAATGAAGATAATTTATTATTGTTGATTTATTTTACAGATTAGTTAAAATAAACTTAGCATGCTCTGACTGAGCTGAATACAGCACCTCAGACTGAAGAAGTCTTTCGGATGAAAGACGAAAAGTTTCTGCATTTTTTTAATTTATTTTTTTTCTTTTTGTTTTTTTGAATGTCCAGAGGACCAGACTTAACTTTCTTTAAATTTTTCTACCTGGATTATTGAGCATGCATCAGGATGTTAGCATGCTCTGTTCAGCAAAATATGCTCCATAGTATTGCTCCCTGCTCCAGATGTGGTGAAAGTGAAACTTAAAGTGAACGGCCATGACTTGAAAGTAGTCTTCATGCGCCCTCTGCTGGATACATTGTACAGTTGTTTGGTCCCAGAATTTTAGTGGTGAAAATTAGAAGTGCTTATATCTGCGCATAATGCAACAATTGTCACTGATACTGATAGATCCCCAAATGTCTAGATCGGCCCAAATTATTGGGCCGATCTAGACATTAAATTGGTCAGGCTGTAGTTATCTTTGACTGTCATCAAGTAAATGTCTTAATGAATTTATATTAAAGGTACTTCATATTTTATACTGACAACGGTTGTGACAACACAACCATATTGGGCATCATTAAGGGGGAGTGTGAAACAGGATACAGGGCAGTGGTGAACAATGTCCTTGCTAATGTGGAGGTGAATGAGCTCATTCTCAACAGAGACAAGAAGAAGGAAAAAAATAATGGACGTCAGAAAGAAAGCCCCCCTGTGCAGCCCCTGACCACGTAGCTGGGCTTCATGTCCAGAGCCAAACGTACAAACGTAAAACTTCACTGAGAGAACAGGTACTACAACAATGGGTCTAACTTTTGTTAAGTTGTACATTTTTATTTGGTCTCAGTACATGTTAAAGTGAAAAGAAG